TGCCTTTTAAACTTCTCCTGCAGCTTAGAGCAAAAGGCTCGTATTTCTTGTGCATTTCATAATTTTCTTTCCCTTTTCCTCCACCTAGTCCACCTCTCATTCCTACTTTTACTTTCCCACATGAGTGGAATCACCGCATCAATTTGATCCTGAATTTTGCTTTCAATTACTACGATACTGAAGACGATACTCAAGACGATAGACTTTCACGATGTATCTGCATAGGTCCACGTTCTACCGCATGTGACCTCGCAAGAATCCACGTTAACAACGAGTTTGTGGGAAAGGGTGAAGGATTGTCTCTGATAAAAGCGCACTAGCTCATTCGGTGCTCCATTGTTCGCCTCTTATTTTTCGCATTGAATAACTCTCAAAGAAATGGAGCAGTCAGGGAATAACAAGCGAATTTACAAATTACAGATATAATTGAACCATTGCAAGATCTTATACGCATTTGCCGAAGTCCTGTAAGTTAACAATTTACAAACCTGCAGAAGGAACCGTCCTCAAAGTTGCAACTGATTGATTCCTGGTTACTCGGTACGAAAAGTTGTGGCTGTATACAAGCAGCAAAATCAGAAAGAAATCGTAGCTCGACCGGACATATAGGAACTGAAAAGCGTTCAAGAACTTGGCAAGTCACCGGCATGGTACGAAACTGTCCTTGATGGCTTGGAAAGAATTCTTCTCACTTTGGTCAGGCAATGAAGACGCGACGACCGAGTTGCTCACGTCACTCAAGGAGGGCACGGGGATGGTGCCAGCTCTGGAGGAATTCTGAAATCATCGTCTTTTCTCCGCAAATTATGTAAGTGGAAAAATACAACACTACGAGGGTTGAGGTCTGGAATCGTCTCAAAACTTCCCGGGAAAGATTGGTCTCACCAATGAGAGTGAATTTAGCATTCAAAAACCACATTGAAAGCCAGTTGTCACGATGGCTGTAGAGCGGAGCGGTTTTGATGGCGTCGTTGAATGTCGGTGGTGGGATGGCGTCAGGAGGCGGACTGTATGCACCATCTAGCGCGCTGAAGTGCAAGCCACCATATACGAACGCGAACGTCATTAAAACCGCACCGCCTTTCAGTCATCGTGATCACCACTGATCGCATTTAAACAGTGAAGTGATGTCGATTGCCCCAAAAGACGCAGTGGTACCCCTCCGAATGAAATCTAAAAATGACTTTCTTACCAGCGTTGCGCTACCCTGTAGCGTGGGGAAACCAGACATTGAAGCAGGCGGAGGAGGAATATAACCTGGGTATGGAGTAAAGCCTTGTTCCGAGTGCAGAAGAGTTGGCTCAGCAATCGAGTTCGTCTGTTCGATTCCAACACTGATTGGCTCGAGTGGGCGTGAGCTGTGCTCCACTTCTGTAATTGTAGTCGTTTGTAGCAAACGAAAACTTTACTTTGAGGGACTTTGACATGTACTTCATGAACCGTATATTCTGCTCTCGGAGTAATAGAGGTACTTCCCGAAAGCACAAAGTACGACCGCATAGTATACGCATTCCCCGGCCAGGAACACATTCCGGCCGGTGAGTGCCTTCTACGACTTCCTCGGCTACGAATGTTGCCGCCACCGAGGGCACATTTCTAGCTGCAAGAGCACAAAATATTGCTCCAAATGAACATAGAATACTGCTCCGAATCTGCGGCATGAGAGGCTGTCGAGTGGGCTTGCTCGCGGTCGCGGCGGCATAAAAATGAAATTCTTTCTTCCGAAGATTTGAACAGCTAAACCTTCTTAAACACTTTCAGTAATTTTAGACTACAGGTTCCTTACAAGTGAAGCGCCATTTGACTTTTAATTACATATGAGGGAACATTTTGCATATAAGGGTGATAGTTTTGTTACTACTAATGAATTAGTCGGAGGGCTTCTTTCGGTTGTTTTTATTGGTCATTCCGCTTTTAAACCCGATTTTTTTTCGGTTTCTATGCAAATAAATATATAGGATCACTCGGAATATAAGTCAATGGCGGTGTTCCGAAGAAGTTGCATAAATTGTTTAATAGGCCATCGTGCAAATGGCGACAGGATAAATCGCAATTGCCGACGTGAGGCATGACTAAAGCACGGTAGCCGAATCTCTGCGTGTTGACTAGTTCGAGCGCAGTGACTCTGATCGCTCGCCCTTTACCCGGAGGGTCTGATCAACAAGTGCAGCAGAAAATAGCGAATACATAGGAGGAATATCCCTAATGTCTAACTTTATAACTGAATATCAGCACAACTCCATGGCTGCATAA